CAACTAGTGATAGTGGTATTGAGGTGTATGAGGAGAATTTCTGGAGAGAACAGCTNGTTGCACATGATGCGAGAATACGATTACGTTTGCTGGCTGAAGACATGTCAGTGACTGAGACATCAATCTTTGAGAGTTACACAACTAGTGATAGTGGTATTGAGGTGTATGAGGAGAATTTCTGGAGAGAACAGCTAAAAGAAGAATTAGGACGAACTCTACGGCGACTGTGCTAGCGCAGCTTAGCGCTGAAACCATAATCACGACGATTAGCGTCCGAGTGCGACTGTCGATAAATCTCGGCATGCTTTTTTCAGTTTTTGTGTTTTCTATTTCATAAGCAACGGTGGAGAAAGTGAATGGCCTGTCTAGCAAGTCTAGAAAGCCTCAAAACGATGATTAACACTTCTCTCTTGCTCTCCATTCTCCATCATTTTTATCCAGTTCTGTCGTCCGATCTCTCTCAACTGACCATGTTCAGTAAATCTACGCATATACGTATAAGCGCACAATTGTTATAAAGTTAGAGAAACATTTCATCAGTTCAGAATTGAAAATTAGAGGTGAGGCACCTCTACTGTTGGACCCAGCTTGAATGCACAAGTTCCAATCCTGAATTCGGCAGTGGATACTTTCAGTAAACTTTAGGAAAGCACATTTTTACCATCGTTTCCTCTCAGTGAAGCGGTGCACCATACCATAGACAGTAAACTCCACAAATGCTATTTGATTACAAATATCGCCTTTGAGGAACTTCAGGATCTGTTGGTCTCAATAACGGCGATATTCAAGGCCATGTGACAATATCTGTGGCAAACTACGCAAAAAAACATCAGGAACTAGTATTTCGGTTCCGAACCGGCTCTGGGATTACCATATTAGTAATCATCGCAAGTCCACTTTTGACAGGGGCTGCGGAAAATTCTACTGGAAAAGAATTGTGGCCTATGATTCACATTTTAATCTATATGCCATCATCGACTTTGCCACGACACTCTGTAAAAGCTGCAGAGTCTTGACGGATCCACTTCCCTGAGAAACATTGTAGTTTCTTTCGGGAAAAGGTGAGTAAATGAAAAGGGTCAAGCCACTTGGGATTGACTTCCTTCACGATACCCTCACTCTATTTCCACGCAGTTGTCACGGAATTACACCACATGCACCACCAACAAAGAACAAAGTGACGAATAAAAGGTACGATGAGCAAGCAATTCAACATTCGACATTGAAAAGGGTGAATATCTTCAAAACAACAAGGAGCGACGACGTCGGCATCTTTCATAGTCCACGACCGGTCGCGCGATCGGTCGCGCGACC